CGTTCTTACGGGTATGAGCATGTCAGCTCCCCCACTTGGCCCAGGCGCCACGTCCACAACGGGAGCAACTACAGGAACAAACACTCAATCCACAGGTACTTCCGTGTCCGCGGCTACAACGGTAACTGAATCAACAACGACAACCAGCAGTTCTGGTACCAATGAACCTGGAACCACTCCCAACCAGAATGAACTAGCTACGTTATTAGCGAGCATGTTGAATGTTATGTCGAGCACAAACCCATCTGGTTCTACGATGCCCAACTTTGGTGACGTGCTCCGTTCATCCCAAGCGAACCCAATAAGTACAGTAAGTCACGGTTTCCAAATTACCGTTGTCGCAAGTACATTATAAATAAAATGTTCTAACTTAATATTTTCCCCCTCTTTTTCCTGCATGTAGGTCCCACCGGAAAGTCGATATGCTTCACAGTTGGAAGTGCTTGCTAGCATGGGTTTTATAAACCGTGAAGCCAATTTGCAAGGTTAGTATTTTATTGCTGACCTCTCCGGTCACTTTATTTTGTAATGGCCGTTGTTTGCGCTTTGTCTATGCCCAATACTAAATATGGTGCAAATGTGACATTAGAACTTTCCAACTTTTCACGGCGAATGCCGCCTTCAAATCAATACCGGTTTTCGAAAGTTGGTTTCAATTTGATTTATGCATGTTGTCTGCGATGTGGTTGAGTCGACACCTTGAATAGCATAATTGGTATCAATTGGAGAATCGGAAAGTGTGACGCAATGTGGGTTATCATCTCTATCGAATGTTACCGGCAGGATAATATAGAGCAATCGGATAGCCCCTTGAAGCCCTGGAGAGAAGCGCGAATGCTTTAACGAATTTGCCGAAATGGACAACACCACGGCTATTTGAAAGGATTTCCACGCCATAGTAAAGCCATTGGACTGGTCAAATGGTTTGAGTTATTGTAAGCATCCTACATGGAATTTCCAAATTCCAGTTTTGGAGTTCACCACCGCTGCCTAACTTAGCTCTGGTCTGCTCGGATGCCACCCGGTTCAGTATCCCAGCTTTCCTATTTGGACCTTATGTTGTCCACCGCTTTATATCCCAGGCTTATGTCTGTTCCTGTTGCCGGGAGGTATATTCTTGCGGTACATAAACACGGCTAGTTGCTTAAGCTAAAGAGGAACAACAGGTGTTCTCCTTATTTTGACTATCTATCTCGATCGAACTTACCCAGAATATACTAACATCAATTGTTTCATGCTCCAATGCATGCTCACCACTCCAATGCATCTCTAGATAGACTGTAGTTATGCGGCGCCGAAACCTGGCAAATTAGTAAACATGTTAAAGATAGATTGTCGGTGTTTGGACACGGCTATCTACGTAGCGTTGCACGAATCTGGTGAGGCAGCCGGACGAGCACTGCTGAGGTCAGATGCAGAGTGTTGGGTATCTGCGGTCGCCCACTGGAGCAAGTAGTCGCCCTCTATAGATTGTTGTTTGGGGCATGTGTTACGCATGCCACCAAATAGATTGCCACGGCGCGCGATGTTTGCCGGGGCAGATAGTGGGTGCGAAAATCCAAGAGTAGTCAAACTAGGGCCTGTCATGAGAGTATGGGAACTCTAACCTGGATACTCGGCCACTAGGTTGCGTTCGGTCCCCTGGATGGGGACCCCCGAGGTCGTTGTAACCAATGATCAGAGATGTTGAGTGCTATGACTAAGTTTCGTAAACAATGGGGTTCATGCATCTTCTCAATTTCTTTGCAACCTTATTTCACAGAGATTCTCCTTTTTCTTTTCGACTGTACTTTCAACTTTCCTGTCTTTCTCCTACTGCTTCATGCAAATGGGCAACCAGAAGACAGCAACCAAAACCGGCGCATGAAATTGCATGCCTAATTGCTGACAAAATGAAACTGTAATACAATAATAATGAAATCCATCTAAATACCGTTCAATTATTTACACTTTTACTGACTATTCACTCCACTATCTAGGCTATGATGCAAATCCAACAAGGCCTAAGAACCTTGCAACAGGAAGCTCCCGGCGTTCTTACGGGTATGAGCATGTCAGCTCCCCCACTTGGCCCAGGCGCCACGT